CATTTGACGGCTAACATTGGCTTGCTTATTTGACGACTGGCGGTAAAAATATTGCGTTCTTGACGGTTGACGGATAATATTTTGGCCATTTGACGGTTGACAGTTAACCCCATTGCGACCCTCTTTGAAGATCGAGTGTCGTAGAAACAAAAATAAAGTTATAACGAAGGCCATTTAAAAGAAAGGAAAACACCTCCAAGAGGCAAGGAGAGCTCAAAGTAACAAAATAATGAATGGACTGGAGACAGAGCGAAGAAAGGCGAAACAAATGCTTTCGATATAATTGGAAATTACTCTAAATAGACAGATGACACTGGATGCAGACACCAGACCAAACTAACGATACTTTTTTCGAACGAACGAATTACACGAAACATCTCTTTTTAAAATGTGTAGCCAGTATACTTGGCAAGGCGAGGGCTATCTTTAAAATAGAGAACGGGAAGAATAGGGAATAGAGATTGGGGAATGGGGAATGAGAAATCTTTAAAATGTGGAATCTTTAAAAGGGAGAATCCTTAAAACGGGAAATCTCTAAAATGCAAGGGCGATTTGAAAAGAGAAATGAATAAAGAAACATATTCGCCTGTTGCCACCCAAAGCGTTTGCCACGAAAAACACGATAGGGCACCAGGTACACTCGTGATTTTCTATGGAACAAGCAAATGCAATTTGGACAATCTCATATTTAAAACTCAAGTCACGACGAACGTGAACTAGCGGCATGTAATTTACCCGTGAATTTGTGTAGACCAAATAAAAAGCAGTGTAGACGATAATTTATTCCAATTTTTCAAAGCGATATGGATTTCAGTTTATTTTCATTTTCCACTGGTGTCCTTATAAATATTCAATTAAGTAGTTGACTTTCAACCTATATTTTTCTTAAAAGAAGTCTAATATGATGTGCTAAAGAATTCGTATTTTGATGTTTCGCCGTAAATTTTTCTCCGACTGAAAATACCCGCCAATCTCTAAATCGTTAAACGAGCATCGAGCGGTTCACTACATCTGCCGCAAGCAACTGTATGTGAGAACTGATTTCTCTTTCCATTTCGACATTGGGAGCAGTTTTTATCGCGTTGCCAGTAATTTTTATCCAAAATCAGAAAGAAGAAAGGTTTCGAATTACTTCACAACAATTTCTCGCTTCTGGCCTTACATTATTATAATAAACAGACGAAAGCAAGAAACAGTGCCGTAGATTCATTTGATAACATAGTCGAAACTTGTTTTATTTGTCTGAGATGGTGGCTGACGTACGCGTGTTGTTTATCGCCGACATGCTGAAAGACCTCTATGAGACCAAGCTAGACCAAAGGGTTTGTACAGGCTAATCTTTTTTTTACCATGTAGTAAGCTTTTGTTTTAAAGTCAAAAAAGATAGCCCTATAACAAATGGAACACGAGTCTTATAAATCATTGCAGAGCTTACCTTGAAAAACGTTTCGTCGACGACGGATTGTGCAATATTGGATTTGGATTCGTGAACAGTTAAGTTTGGGGGTTTTTCTTTGTGAAATGCTCCTTTCCTTGTAGAAATGACAAGACCGAAGATACTTTAAAGATTTCTTTACAAAGCGACGTAACACGTTTGGTGTTTGTCAGGAGAATAGGTCAAATGCGATTAGCTAATATTGTAAGGGCTTGATTTCTAAGAAATTGAGCTGGTCAACTTCCGGTTTTGAGATCACGTCGATTGTTGTGTGACGCACGATCACGCAAGGCGAGTCTATAGGGGGTTGTCCCTGGATGTGTGGCTTAAAATAGCTAATTGCTCTGACTAATCCAAGAGAATCAACATGTGGAGTTCTCGTGACTTTCTACAGAATTTAAGAAAGTAATATGTTCTTTTGGAGGGAATTTTCAGATAGATTCTAAGGCCATTTTGTGGGGTAAATCAGCCTACTCAAACCAGTCTCCCCTGGCACTAAGTAGGTCGTCGCCAAGGTATCTCTTCAGAAGGAGGGGTATGCATACTTTAGCAATGTTTTTACGAAATTTTATCAATGCGTGACCATTAGTGAACGCCCTGCGTGTGAATTTCTTTTGCAGTTCAAGAAAGAATAACGAAATTAAACGAGTACAAGATAATTTTCGCATTGCCACCTATTATCGTTGCTAATGTTCCTATGGCCTACTCAACGGAGTGGGCATGAGGATAGGATTCTGAGACGGCTTGCACCTCAAACCAGTCTCCCCTAGGAGTAAGAAATACGTCGTTTGTTCTTGCCAGACAGCTTATTTGCAACGGGAACGGAACACGGCATTGTCTTTCCATATAGCTTTCAGGTTATTGGCGAATGCACTGTTTAAACAGACGCCAATCTTAGGTTTGAATTTGTTTGAATGATTTGTGCGATACTGACGTGAACGGAACAGTTGATTAAATAGTGCTTCTGAAGCTTCACGCACTCAGTACAGATTCAAATAGTTCAAATTTGCTATTCAATAAAGCTATGTATTGGAGTGAGGATAAGAATAAATGTTTTGAGGTTTTTACTCCTAAGAAAGTTTCTTTCCTACTTTTCGATTCGTTTCGATGGTCTTCGTTTCAGCTAACATTCCTGCAGCATTTGCCTTTGTGTCAGATAACACGGATATTTACTCTCAGATAGCCATACATGAGATGATGGACTGATGCCAACAACAACTGCGGCCTGCCTCCCTTTTGTACATGAATTATTTGGAAGAAACTCGTGCTTATAAGTTAGATGGCCCAAGGGGGTACAGAGAAATCAAGCCATTACTTACTAACTGTAGAATTTGAGGTGCTTAGTATAACTGTCACTAACAGGTCTCACTCAGCGAAGAATACGCAGAATACCTACATGAAACAGTTGTTGAGGCGGTGCTTCACACAGCCAGCCATTTAATTCAATTTTTGTTTGCTGTTTGCTTCTTAAAATAGCCATGTATTACAGAATAAATATCATATGCATGATGTAGACCAGTTCCGTCGTTGGGTCAAGGTCTTGATGGAGGTTCTGGACTTAGGCTATGCCTAAATGCCCGGCAGCCGGGAACCGGTCTCAAATAGACTAAACGCCCGGAAGTCGGAAGTTTTCACCGAGTTCTTATTGAAAGGTTCTCTCAAACTTCTTAAGAATATTAGGTGTTTGTTTAGAATGTCAAGCAATTCCAACAATTTATTTGTGTTTTACGTGGACAAATTTTGCGAGCTTGTGCACCCTATAAAATCGACTTAGAATTTTTCTATTCTTTTTTTACGGCACATTTTTACGATTAAAATTCAGTGTTGATATACTGTGTATTCTTTTTAATACCATGACCTTAACTTTAGACCTCCAAATCACACACAAAATGCTTGGGCCGCCTTTGCATAATCTAGGATATATTACTAATTCACGTTCCTGTAGAGTCATTTTGCGGCCCCCTATGACGAAATGGAGTCACTGTAGTCGCTCTGTCTGAATAAAAAATATCCGTTAATGGTAATTGCCTCAATTGTTTTCAAAGATTCAAAAATCTTCCGAGTGAATATCATTGTTCTCTTCATGGAAATGTCTGTTGTCTTGTGTGACCATGCCTGAAGAGCGTGACACAATAC